CCTAACTGTTGCTGACATGCCGTTTTTATCGTTTTTAGGTCGGCTCCGAATCAGAGTTTTGCGTAGGAATGCACTTATCTCAATCCTTGAACTATTTCCAGGTCATTTGGTGTTCAACCAAGCAGGCGTCTTAGAGAGCGCATCACGTGACTTTTTATATTGGCCGCAAAATATAAGAGTTTATATTCTATATCTCTTCATCATCTGAGAGGAGATTGCCCAATATTCTTTGTCATATAGAGATTTATATTACATAACACTTCAGGACATCTTTCGCTATCCCAATTCGCCTTCGGATTCCAGTCTAGCACTTTCCGTCCTCTGTTTAATACGTTCCCCAGATATCTAAATTATTGCACATGTTTGATTTCGGTATCCCCACTTTGTAATTTATATGTTGGGCTGTTCTTTTTGCTAACAGCCATTCGTTCAGTGTTCTTGCAAATGATGGTTAGTACTTTCCTCGGATTCCTATTCCTGATAAAATCCAAAAAAGAATCTGTAATGTTATTGGTTCTGACCTGGAATCCCGGCTTCAGTTACATTCCCATCGCCTTAACATGGTTCCCTTGTGCCTCTTCTATAAATATTTTCATAGTAATTATTCTGATGAACTTTCCTCTATGGCACTTTGACTTTATGAATTTAAGCAGAGTACTAGATTAGTGGCTAGGTTTCATTATGTTACAGTTGAAATGGCTAGATGCAATGGCAAATTCTATTCTAATAATTTCTTTCGCACTTATCGTTTGGTTAAATGTCTTGACTTCTGACTTTCCAGTCAACTTTGATCTTCAAAAATTTGAATACAATGCTAATCGCTGTCCTCTTAATTCCTATTATTTTCTTTCTCCTTAATAATCGATTTCTGATAATTTATCACACTCACTTTGCGTTTTAGTGGCTTCATTGCCTTGCTTGAGGTTAAAAGACAAAATACCAAAAACCCAAACAAATCAAAGCAAAAACAAAAGCGAGATGATTATAAAAGCACTAGATGTTCTGACAGGATTTGTTATTGATAGGCATAATTTTAGCAACGGGATATACAAAGATGACAACTTGCTCATGGCAGATACAGAGTAAAAACTGTAGCAAATCCTAAACAAGGTAGTAAAAGAATGCAAGAAGAAAGGACTAACTATCAATTGTAAGAAGACAATGTGTGGTCATCAACAAGAGTAGCAACTCAAGAAGTAAATTAAAAGTCAGAGATATTAAATTCCAGAAAGTATAGAAATTTAAAAATCTGGCAAAATATGTGGCGAAAGTGAAAGTAACTTACCGAGAAAAAGAGCATGCGTGTTCTGTACGATATGCCGAAGACAACATAAACAAAATAGAAACAAGTCAGTCACAAGTGTTGCCAAAAATGCATCTCGGATATGCTAATAGGATGTCCTCTTTCTCTCACCTGTCAACCAATGAAGAAAGTGTTGTCATTAAAAGTGGATGGTGTTTTCGAATTGGGGAAGCCGTTTTATTTTTCTACCTCATCTGTCGGCTTGCGGAGTGGATATCTGACGTGATGAGATTCGTGATGTTGGACCTGTGATTCGTGCTTTCAACATTTCTTTTGGTCCCTGGATCTTCGAGTTTAGCAGACATCAGAAAATCATACGGAAATTCCAAGGTGTTTATAGTAAAATATGCTTTCCAAATTAGAAACAAAGAAAACATTGCTGAACGGTTATGTAATGTCAATTCTACTATAGGAGTGAATGCTGGACAGTTTCTTCACAGTCGAAGAGGACTTTTGAGGCAAGAGATATGATTCTACAGAAGGATGCTGAGAATACCATGGACAGAAGAAACGAGCAATGAGGAAGTTTTAAGGAAAATGGAAACAAAAACCCTTGTGGATATTTGTTGGAGACAGCTGAAATTTCTGGGACATAAAGAAGGCTACTTTGACAATTTGATACTCATAGGACATATTGGAGGAAAGAATGACAAGGAAAAAAATATTAACGTACCTAACGAGCTTGTGCAAATTGTTGGCAGAACAGGAGCTGGGGGAGATAGTAAGTAGACAGACATTGCTTAGAATAACAAATAGGAAGCTGTGTGGAGCCATGATCATTCTGAATCCTGAAGTTACCTAGCATATAAAATATGATGCAAAATATATAAAGCATATAAACGTCAAGTTTATTAATAATTTGTTAAAAAAAGCTTGTTTTTCCTAAGTTCGTATAGAATATACATACAGTTTATCAATTAAATAATTAAAAACACCAGCGATTTATTTTTCAGTGAATAGCTGGACAGCGTGGCCGAGACAGAAATTTTATCAAAATGTTTTTTTTTTGTTTTTTTTTAAAAAAAAAAAAAAAAAAAAATTTGAAGAATCATATAGCCATTGGTCGATTTTTATTTCTATCATTTTTTGCTCCAATGATGCCAACATGTCTGGTGATAAATATAAAATATTATTTGACCAAGAAGGGAAGAATGAAAGAAAGAAGCAAAGCTTGTCATGACTATTTAGTTGCATGACTTTCGGTCGATATGACCATAAATCTCCAAGCGATCTGAAAATGAATTCAACAGAAAAGCAGAATCCACATAGGAAGAACCTGGTCGGTAATTGAAACAATTTAAGATAGAAAAGGACTGACTTACAGCGGACAGAGTTGCTTATTTCACACAGGCGGTTGATGTTGGAGACCATGTGCCAGAAGACGTTGAAGAGTTTTCGGTCCAACTAAAAAGGGGTTCTCTTCTCCCCAATATTTCTTTTCAGATCCTACGAAGTGGATAGGGCCGTTATTTTGAATGCTGATATTTAACAAGATGGGTAGATGCTTCCTGCTGCAAATACGGACATGTCACACTGCTTCAAAATTCACAGACCTCCATAGACTCTCTTGACTAATTAAGCTAGAATTAAGGACATTAGAGTGTCTTCGAATTCCATTTAAGTTTATTTACATTAACTTTCGCGCAAATACCCGTGGAAAAATTATGAAACTATATCTTCTCCCATATCTATGGGTTAAGTAGTAGAACGAACAGGGCTCTTTAGCCTAGGTTAGCAACCAGTCTAGGAGAAACACAGCTCTGAATTAAAAAACGTATGTAGCACTGGCGAAGCAAATATTATACAGCTAACGGAATGATCAAGGAGTTCAAAATGACACCGGGATCTCGGCCATTTAATTAATCAATAAGTGTCCGTGCCAACTGTAAAACAAACACACAATCCTGAACACAAATGTAAATTACCCAAGCTGTCCTGTGAGTATCAGATTTTCGAGCCCTCCTCCCTCAATATGTGCTCTAGAAATTTCAACTGCCTTTTCCTGGTGTTAGTTTCCTTTTTGTTTTTCATTTTCTCTGAAACAACTTTGTTGTTGCTCACATATTTGATCCATTGGTAGGAATCGGAAAAAAAAAAAAAAAAACTCAAAAAGAATCATATAAATAAAAATAATCCTCCCCTTTTTCTATTAGACAACATCTGGGATATTAAATATTTTGTTGGTGAATCACCAACATAAAAACACAATATAAGTAACAAGGTGTACTAGTAAATCTCCCATCTGCAATTAATAGAAAGAAAGCCTTTTGTTGTTTCACAGTGTCAGACATTTCTTTCATACCTATTTTGTGTGTACGCGTCATTAGTTATACATAAAAACACTTGGTCATATTCCCTACATTGTAGCTTATATCTTATCTTTTGTATATCACCGCTAAACAAATTTGAAAAATTCCTTATTCTGCTGTTTTTTTTCCACTCTACTTTTTATTTCAAGTATTTACAAAAGTTCGAAAAATCCCAGCCTTCAATCGGCATTTTCAGCCATTTTCTGACAATTTCAAATCCGACTGATGTTTGTCGATGGAATATCCATTAACATAACACGCTACATTTACAGCAGTAAAAGGTTTTGATTACACCATAGTCACAATTATTTCGTGTTGAAAATGCGAGAACACAAGGAGAAGGACGTTGTCCTTAAATAACGTTGGCATCAACAGGTCTAAAAGCAGACTGAAAAGATAACAGAATTGCTCGAATTCAATATTTTTTCAAGTGAAATGAGACTGGAAATTTTGTGAGAAACTTATAAAAATAATTCTAGAAACCAAATAAAAGGTGACAGATTGTTCGTTTACGTTCTTTTGATTTCTCTAGAGTCATCTTTAATTTCTTATTTTTAATGTTCAGGTAAAAATATCTATACTTATGACCTGTAGTATTAAGACCACCCACATACATTTGTTAAACCCCAGCGACTGCTTAACCAAGATGACCTAACGTAAAATTGCTGTTATGGAGTACACAGAGATATAAAAATGCTGTTTCCATACAACTTTCCACCTATCAAAAATGCATTATCTCAAGCTTATTAGGTAGCTTTGCAGGTAAGTACATTACGCCCATCGGATGAAGACAGTAGTCATCGTAAAATAATTTCGTTGGCTGCAGTCAAACACTTCAACTATAACTTTTTGAGTTCCTATTTCTATTACGACCACTGTATCCGTGTGCTTATGTAATCTTTAATATCCCCAAAAGCACTCAGTGTAATACGATACGTTCTTAATCAGGAGCATTCGGTAACATTATCTAATTTTTAAGCTTTCTCTTCACACATACGGCCATACTTCAATGCTATTGCTATAAGAGAACAAATGCATTATATACAAAGTATATCCCAACAAATGTATGCTTTTTTATACACTGAACGTTCTGACAAGAGAACTTGTTTCCTTCAATAAACATTATTCGCATCATGAAACACGGGAAATACAGCACATACTTATCCAATAGGAAAAAATGTCTGTTGTTTTTAAAAGCCATTATTCAACTCATCTGTACTCTTGCAAACAACAATTGTAGACAATACGTCTCTTTATTTCATTATTATTGTGGCCATTTATTTTCAAGACTAGATTACTTCAGGCGTTTTATGGTGTGTTTCTAATATTTTAGAAGGAATCTGTTAACTACCGGCACCTCTGCTAGTTTAACCATACACTCATCTCACCAATCACAGACAGCTTGAGGTTTGGTGAAAAGGAAGAAAGATGAGAAAGGGAAAAAAAAAAGTCGGGAAGAAAAAGAAAAATGTCAAATACTTGCATTCATATCGGTCCATTGACCACATGAAATAGGCATTTATTAATGTGTAACTGTTTTTTTAAAAGGAATAATGCAGGAAAATTATTTCGTAAATACATGCTATTGTTTCTTGGTTAAAGGAGAAAAGAAAGAAGTATAAGAAAATTATGAGAAGTGATGTTTGGACGAATGAAAGAAAACCAAGGAGAAAAGAAGAGACAGAAAATAAAACATATAAAAGCCAACAAAAGAATAAGTTAAATTTAGAGTGTGTGAAAAATCAGAGATATTTCGACATGAAGGCATATTGCAAATCATTGTAGCGTTTTTATCTTCAGTGTAGCTACTTAGGTCCATTTGTATTTCTTCATCATCTAATGTGCCAACACCTGGCTTATACTGCAACTATGATGAGATGACTTTAATTACAGTTCAAGTACGTGTCCTGCCAGTGCTATATACGGTTTTAAGTTCAGAATTTTCTTATACTGACTGCTAAACGTGACTAGAGAATTTAATATGTCCTGTTATTTAATCCATAGCGGGACAAAAACAGATTCATACCTTTTCCAAGGTTGTTTGTGTGAAAGTGAATGCACAGATCTTGACTGGAACTCGAACTCAGCACACTGGTTTCTCGTCCCAAGCCTTTGACCATGGCATCAAATAGCGCATCCAGTGAGTGGAAAAAGTTTGGAAAAAAAGTTAGAATTTAAAAGTTAGCCTGTCTAGTGGCTGATTAAGTTGCATATTTCATGTTGCAAGTTATCGAAGATTAATCTTTTCGAGTTGGAAGACTGATGCATAACAATCGTTGTCCATTCATGTCAACCTCCATTCAGATAAGCAGAAGAAAGAAAAAAAAAAGATTAGAAATAATGAAGCAAGAGAGTGTGGAAAGAAGTAGATAGTAAGTAGTAAAGTGGGTGTGAGGGAAAGATAGAGTGAAGGAAAGTGGCAACGGGAATGAGCAAACGAAAGTGGCAACGGGAATGAGCAAACGAAAGTGGCAACGGGAATGAGCAAACGAAAGTGGCAACGGGAATGAGCAAACGAAAGTGGCAACGGGAATGAGCAAACGAAAGTGGCAACGGAATGAGCAAACGAAAGTGGCAACAATGAGCGGAATGAGAGCAAACGAAAGTGGCAACGGGAATGAGCAAACGAAAGTGGCAACGGGAATGAGCAAACGAAAGTGGCAACGGGAATGAGGTAAAGAGAGATAAGCAGAGAAGAAACTGAAAGTGTAAGATGCATGCTAAAGTTGAACAAAAAGGAAAAGTAAGGAAATCAAGTAAAACACAATAAGAGATAATGTATTAGATTGCAAAGAATCAAAATCAATAATGGGGTATCATGGGTAGTTTAGAAACAGAAATTGAAATGACTGTACTTTTAGGAAGGAAATCTAATAGAGACCAAATAATTAAATTAAAAGAAAATGAAGTAAAGAAACAGAATAAGAAAGAAAAAGGAAAATGAAGTGAATAAAAAGCAAAAAGAAACAGTAAATAAATACTTTACACTATTTACATTGTTTGGACTGCTGTCCTCATCTTCATTGTCACGTTCACAATGTTCCAGCCTTCTTCAGGTGATATATTTTTGAATTTCAAACTGAACACAGAATAGAAAATAAACATGGAAAGAACATCTACACAAACGTCACTGAACCAATCTTCAGAAACACCAACATTCAGATTGACTATTCTCTGTTTGGTTTGAAAAAAAAAAAAAAAAAAAAAAATCAACTGAAGAAGGTTGGAGAATACCGCAACCAAAACATGACAAACAATGTAGATAGTGCAAATTGTTACAATACCTCATCTCAGAAATATAAACAAATAAATTCTTAATAAAAAGAAGATAAAATATGAAGATAAATGGAAGACTCAAATGTATGGGATGTGTTAAAAGAAAATGAAAGAGGAATTCTTGAAGTAAAAAAAAAAAAAAAAAAAAAAGATAATTGAGAAGTTGAAGTAAAAGATGAGAGAATGATAAGGAAAATGAAAACCAAACTTATTTGAAAAAAAATATTAAAAATAAACCAAGATGGTGGAAAAGATTAGAAAGAAAAATAAAGGGAAAAAATGAATTGAAGAGAAAGATTAAATAAACAAAGAAAGGAAAATTAAATGGAAATAGAATATAAACAGAGGCAGGGTGAAGAATAAAAGATAATAAAAGAGGAATCGAAGAAATAAAAAAGTGAAATATAAATTGCAAAAATAAAATAAAAAAAAGTATAGTCAGAAAAGTAAAGAGAAAAATATAGAAACTAAGAAACAGTAAGCACTGATGATAACATTTTTTAATGTAAGTATCCAATGTTAGAATAAATTGCTCATTTCCTTTTCTTTTCTATTTTTTGATCTGCTTTGACGTTTCAAATTTCCCCAGGTCCCTCATCACTTTTCTCTTGAAATGATGTACAGATTCTGTGGGTCAAAAATATTGCACTTTTGGTGTCCTTGAGGAATACAAAATTTTTTTCCATTCAGATATTAGCTTGGTGTTGGTTCTCTCAGGTATACTGAAGATAAAACTTTTATGCTTAAAACAGATTGCAGAGACAGAATGTTGTTTTCAATCAGGAAAGCTAAAGCTACTTAAATGATTCTTTCATGTGGCTGGAATAGTGGGGAATGAAGCGGCCAAAACAAAATTTTGAAAATAAGTATTCACCCAAATAGAAATACATCACAAGCAAACATGTGCAGATATAAATGTATATATGGGCAAGTGAATGATCAAATGGAAAAATAAACAGTGAAGGGTTTCATTCTTAGAAGGAACCTCTTCAGACAAAATAATGGAATGAAATGCATCACTACACAGTTTGATATCTTACCATTTGTTCATATGTTATACATTGAAGATGACAGAAGAACCTGAGGGTCCAGCATATCTGTTCTTGGAACTGGACAGCTTGACTACTTGCACATGATTTGATTAGAAAGGTAAAAATTTCTACAGAATCAACCAGACCTTTTGAAAGAATTAAATACAGTGTACAGGTGCACAATGTGCCAAAAGGTTTCCAAATGACCCTGCTCAGTTTTGAATTAAGAGTCATCCTTCTAAACTGGTTGTCAACTAAGGCTAAAGAATCTAGTCTGTTCAACTACTTACCCCATAATCAGGTGAAGATGAATTCATACCTTTCCCAAGACTATTTACGCATAACTGAATATAATGAACCCAACAGGAATTAAAACTTGGCTCTCCAATTAACAATTTAGCCATTATTCATTACACCACCAACTCATCCAACTTTACAGCACCTGGTATTCCCAAATGGTCACCCATCTAGATACAGACCAGGCTCACCATTGCTTAACTTTGGTGAATTGTTTTTTTTTGTGTGTGTGTATATATATATATATATATATATATATATATATATTAAAATGAAGAAGAAACTGCAAACATTTTTGGTTGTAATGTGAAATTTAAAAAAAATATACCTTAAAAATAAAGTATAATATTTTGTTAAAAAATCCACATTACAACCAAAGACATATGCAGTTTCTCTCTTTTTAATATGCACACTTTTCTCTCATTGGAACTAATATAACCTCTTCACTTTTATATATATATATATATATATATATATATATATATATATATATTTGTGTGTGTGTGTGTTACTTCAAACATATTTTTTACTGGACAATCGTATTTGAAATTTTCATCCTATTATTATTTTTTTTTTTAAACAGTGTATTCCATCTATAAGACTGTGCTGCCCTCAAGAAATCTCAGTAGAGAAAATTTTCTCTTCGGTAGGGTTCAGACCAGCATACCAGTTTGTAAGAGAAAAACTGTTATTTGATGTAGTGTGCTTTAGTCCACTCTGCTATAGAGAGCTCAGGAAGGTTCTATTTTCAAGCTGTCTAAAGCATGCCGGAAAGCATATTTTCATTAAGATTTTTCAAATGTGCAGGGCGAAAGATGTAACAGACACCGTTTAAAAAAATAAAAACAGATTCTGTTTCCAAAAAGTTTATTCGCTAAAAGTAGGTACCTCCACGAGATCGCTAAAAAAAGGAGCATAGCATGAAGAAAAGACGCCAAACTTGATGAAAACAAAATTTTATCATCTAAATGTTTGTTATTATTAAGAGGAAAGATCAAAGTATTTTGAGGGTATTTTTTTTTTACATTTTTTTAATCATTCCAAGCATGTCCGAAATTTTCATTAAAAATCTTGTCTTTGAGTCAGCAAAATTGACCATTTTTTTCCATTTTATAAAAAAACTGGAAATCTCACTTTGAAATTCTTTTAAATATCAATTATTTTTTCAAAACTTATTTTAAGAAAATCAGAAATTATGTTTATTTAAAATATTTTGAACAAAGCTTAACTTAGCTTCTGCGCTGAAAAGATGTAATTTGAAAATAAAACAAAGCAGCTCATAAACTTTTGCGTCACTTGACAGGTGAGGAATGACATTGACGGATTCTGTGAGGATAATTTCTACGGAAGGAGAAAAGTGAAATTATTTACATTTAAGTGAACAAATTATTTACCTCATTATTTTTAAGGAAAACTTTCTGGGCTCTAATTTTTTTTGTTTTTTGTAATTAGCTTTCACCTTTACGCTTACGATGCTTTATGGAAAATATAAAGAAATTAAAATAAGACCGTTAAGAATGAGATTAAATTTCATAAGAAAGGTATCTAATTAATTTATAGGTACCTTTCTTATGAAATTTTATCAGAAGTGTACATAAAATACTATAATTTTATGTACATTTATTAAATTTTACTGTGTTATTTGTATTTCCAGTCATTTTATTATTAATTTTGATATTTCATTCATGGAAAAATGTCATAACTGAGATTAATATAAAAATAAGATCATATAAATTTCATAAGATGATACTGATACTTGAAGGTACCCTTCTCAGTTGAAACTGAAAAATCAAATTAACTTCTCCACATGTGTTTCACAAAAGTAAAGGCCTTAACAGCAGAGTACAATGCTTAACTCAAATAACGCAACTTAATTGTATT